GGTACATGCATTTAGTGGAAACAATGTGTGCAATACTAAGCAATACTAAAAAGATGAGATAGACTCCCGCTAGACATGAAGCGATATACGCCTGATGAAGGCCAGAGGGTAGAACGGTCGAAACGTAATGATAACAACAAAGTTGAGGATAATAGTACGGATGTAAATAATGCTACTTCTTTTGCTAACACAGTCCTCGCTAATATTCAACGCCAAATAACTTTTCTATTCTAATCACAACAAACAATATTCCTAGGTTGAGTCATAAATAATTTCCGTTTATCTTCACCATTTAGTATAAAATAAAGTACAATTCAATATATTTATAATTATTTGCAGTAACTTGTTGCCACTTCCAGGCAGCTATGCGGTTTCTGTTTGTGATTGTATAGCGCCAGACTGATGAAGGATAGTCCTCTTTCAGACCAAAACGGTTCTTTCGCTTGCAATCATTCTTTTCCAAATCCTTTTACATTTACCCTTCGTCTTTTCCAAATCCTTTTACAGTTACCCTTCGTCTTTTCCAAATCCTTTTACATTTACCCTTCGTTTTTTCCAAATACTTTTACATTTACCCTTCGTTTTTTTCCAAATCCTTTTACATTTACCCTTCGTTTTTTCCAAATACTTTTACATTTACCCTTCGTTTTTTTCCAAATCCTTTTACATTTACCCTTCGTTTTTTCCAAATCCTTTTACATTTACCCTTGGTCTTTTCCAAATCCTTTTACATTTAACCTTCGTCTTTTCCAAATCCTTTTACATTTACCCTTCGTTTTTTCCAAATCCTTTTACATTTACCCTTCGTCTTTTCCAAATCCTTTTACATTTTTCGTCTTTTCCCTTTTTTACATTTCCTTCGTTTTTCCAAATCCTTTTACATTTACCCTTCGTTTTTTCCAAATCCTTTTTACATTTACCCTTCGTTCAAACGTTATTATAGTGACAACCTCGTATTTAAGATATGTTTGAAGTATTAATGACGGATTAAATATTAATACACTAATTCTTTATAAATTACATTATATATATATATATATATATATATATATATATATATATATATATATATATATATATATATATCATACAGTGTTACATTAAATCATGCACATACTGCATAATAAATAAATATATACGGGTCTACTTTTGTGTAGAGCTCTGTTTTAAATTGATATTTTGAACGCTGAAATCTTTATTCTTTTTACATTTGATATATATACATATATATACATACATATATATATATATATATATATATATATATATATATATATATATATATATATATATATGTGTGTGTGTGTGTGTGTGTGTGTGTGTGTATGCGTTATTGTATCTGTGTGTGTTAATGTATATACACTACAGGCAAAAATAAAATAGCAGTATCTCAGCATTTCTTTAAAACACACCTTAAAGTGAAATATTTTTTGCATGTTAAAAAGTTGTTAATGTTGCAAATTAAAAGCAAACATTTCAATAATTACAATGTGTTTATTTTTCGATTTTTTCTCTAGGCTCCTCTTTCTTCCAAAAAGTTCAAATTATGATTTGTCTCTCTCTTGCTAAATCATCAATACAAATCCTCATGACAAACATTGCATTTTGTTTTTCACCATTAACCCCTCAATAGACATTTCAATGAAGTTAACTGTTAATACAAATTCTAAATGATAACTCTGCACTGATCAATGTTGTTATCAAAACAAATATAGCTGTCTCTTTTAGAGAACAAAAGAATGTCTTATTACGACTCTTTTGTCATATTTATTTTTTCAATTCCAAGTGATTTGCACATAATTATAAAATTAAAGCATCTAAACATTGAGGTGAGGATAAAAATTGAATTTTTATTCAAAGGAGCCTAGTCTCAAAGAAAAAATTGAGAAGTTGGAAATTTCTATACGTGGGGTGCAACATTAGATACAAAGGAATTTAGAAACAATAGCAAATCCTGAGAGAAAAAGAACTTGAGCACTGAAAGTGACAATTGCTGCTGAAGATAAACATTTGATTATTGAGAGCAAAAGTAAATAGAAGGAAAACTTCTCCAGAGTTGACAGCTGAACTTAATTACTCTAGATAGCAACCAGTGTCGCTCTCAACACTGTAAAATTGACTTAGATTAGCGGCGCTCAGAAGGCGTATAACAATCAAGAATTCTCTGCTACGGACGGCGAAGAAGCAGAAAAGATTGTTATGGGCAAAAAAGCATAAGAATTGAACATCGAAAGAGTTGCAAAATGTATTATGAAAATCTTCGAAGAGAATACCGAATGAGTGAGCGTGAGCTTTTTCAGTGTTTCATGAATACCTGGGAAAGTCTTTTGTCTATATTCTGAAGAATTTTTCCAAGAATTTGTAAAGCAGTAATTAAAGCAGGTAACGGTTCTGTTGATGAAAACCAAATTTGATTATGTTGTATGATAATATTTTATAGTTAACTACTTATTATCTGTCAAAATAAAAGCAGCCACACTGTAGTTACTTGCATTATTTACATTATTCAGACTGTTATACTCATCTTCACAAAGTTTCGGCCGTTATAAGCTCTGGCCTTCTTCAGGTGATTGTAGTTTCGAACCGAACCCGTTATTTCGTTCACCGGGGTAGATTGTTCTAGTTCCAAGTGCCAACCTTCTTCCGGATGTCTGAGTTATTGCCCTTTTACTAAACTCTCCAAGTTTTGGTTCACCATTCTAGTTGCTAGGTATTCTCAAGGACACATAGCCCAGTGGATAAAAACGTTGGTTAGAGCCAGTGACTAGACCCAAAGAGTTGTGAGTTCAATACCAGGCCACAGCATCTCGCTGTTGTTATCGGATTAGAGGGGTCGATCACAGTGTGCGGCACCTTTGGAAATTGCCTGGAAACTATGCCACGGTTTGGCCCAAGCTTTGTGAGTGAAATTGCGTAGACGGAACCGTTTAGGGCCGTCGATAGCTGTGCTAGCACAAAGTCACAAATCAATGTGTCCGAGGGCTTCACTGTGATGTCCGTGTTCAAATATTTATGAGTGTTCTTAAGTTTAAATATGTTGGAAGAAATAAAATTTTGATAAAGTCCATCAGATGGTAGGTAAGTTTTTTTTTACTTTATTCACGCACACACATAGATAATAGAAAATAATAATAGCTGGCCACTCGTATTCGAGGATACCCATCTACTAGTGCAGCTAGCCAATCCCTATTGTAGACATTCGCTCAGGCACATTTTGTGTTCGTTCAACACCTATAGAGTCAACCTGTGGTTTATACTGCAACTATAAACCTTAGTTACACACATAGATACATGCATATATATATATATATATATATATATATATATATATATATATATATATATCTTCAGTAGTATAGTACATGCGGAAAAAAATTCTCCCGGGAGAGTATGTTCCACTTCATTATTTATTTTACTTGTCACAGGCATGTAAAAAAAAAGAGATATTAAGATCTTTTTCATCATGCTTCAATTTTGTCAAAAGGCTGACTATATTATTAGTCATATTATCAATATTATTATTTTTGTTGTTTTTTGATTCTTTCTGAAATTTTTCACCAGTCTATTATATCTACCACCTATATATATATATATATATATATATATATATATATATATATATATATATATATATGAAGTAAATATAGTTTTATGGTGTACTATATTTATGGGATAAAGTGCTCAATACCAGAGATAAAGCGTATGTAAATATAAATATAAATGTGAACATTGAAGTCAAAAGTTTCATGCTAGACGCAATCGTCAGCCTGTTGCCTCTGAGTGTTGACGTCAATGTTCACTTATATATATATATATATATATATATATATATATATATATGCAGATTTTCCAAGTTTCTAGGATATTCATTTATATATATGTATATTTGTATCATACTCACCCACATACATGTTCAAATACATACACAGAAGTACACACACACTCTACCTCTCTCTACCTCACACCCAAATACACTCACTCATATAATATCCTATCATATATATATATGTATATATTTTCAGAGAGAAGGCAAATATCGACCCTTTTTCTTAGACAACATTCACATAATTCACATTGTCACATCTTTCATGTAAAGCAATTCAAAATTCCTAATGATTTACGGGGAACATTTAAGAATATATCTGGTGTAAATTTCCATAAATTGTCCGAATTACATTCGAATCGATGTGCCAAGTTTTCGTATTGGCTGAGCTCAGTTTAGGAATAGTCCATCAAATTCCAACAATGAAGTTGACGACCGTTTCAAGTATAAAATGACGTTGAAGCCAATTCATAATTGACCATGTGTACAATTACCAATTAGTCATTGATATACATTCATCAAATTCTCTGTATCATCTTGTGGCTAATGTATTTAGTTCGTTGTCGGGCGAAACTTTAGAGACTCCCCATGGAAATTGATGTTGCCCTGACTTCAATGAAAAGAAAAGGTTTTGCGATGTGGATCTGCTTTGATCTACGTCCAAACAGTTTCGAATCCAGAACATTTATTTATCATAGACTGTCTGTTAACCATGGCTTGCAAATCAACTTAGGCAGAGAAAAACGTATTCATAATCTCGGTTTACTGTTCTCAAGTTTCGTACCAATAACTGCTAAACTATGCACACATCTTCTGTATTCATTACTAAAAATGTAATTTTAAACTCATAGTGCTTGGAAGTAGTCTTAATATTAGTTGAATGAAAAATATCTTCGTGGTGTACAAAGATTCAATTTAGATTGATTTATAGATTAGTTTTTACGGCTAATCAACTGTTTGCAGGTTATTTAAAGCTAGAAAATATTTTTTTAGATTATAAGAAGTTTTTTGATATAATAATGATGTAGTGATAGAAATCTTAATTAACCCATAACTGAGGGTTGGAAAGTGGTGGATTCATGCCTTTCGCAAGGGTATTTTTTGCGTAAGTGAATATAACGAACCCAATCGGAATTGGAATAATTCCGAGCAATTATCCATTCCATCACATCCAAACTTTCAGCACTTGATATTCCCAAGTGGTCACCCATCTAGGTTCACACCAGGCTCGACGTTGCTTAACTTCGGCGATTGTAGGGGAACAAGTGTTTCAACGTGTTGTGGCCGTAAGCCTTCAATTTAGACTGAATACAGTGTATCTGTGTCCGATCAGAATCGTTAGCAACGCCTAATCAAATCATTTAGAATATAAGAAAACATGTTAAAATTATAGATAAATAATGGCAATCAGCTAGAATTTGTCAGAATAATATTTAAAGATTTTTTTTTAATCATTTCATCCCTAAGCAAGGCAATAATGCCACTAAGATGCAAAAGGCTGCTGGGAGTGAAAGAGAAGGCAAATATTTTAGAATGAACTGGATACCCCAATCCTAAACAGGGAAAAATGAATAAACATCTAATTCCTGTTAAAAAAACGGGGAGGACTGTTAACAGGATGATAGGCAAACCTACCTACTCCTATGTAGGATTGAGAATGGGAGAGAGAGAGAGATAAAGAGAGAGAGAGAGAGGAAAGGTGAGAAAGATAAAAAGATAACGAAAGAGGGAGAGTGAGGGAGAGAGATAAAGAGAGAGAGGGAGAGGAAAGGTGAGAAAGATAAAAAGATAACGAAAGAGGGAGAGTGAGGGAGAGAGATAAAGAGAGAGAGGGAGGGAGAGAGAGAGAGAGAGAGAGAGAGAGAGAGAGAGAGAGTGTGTGTGTGTGTGTGTGTGCATTGGGGTAAAATGCATAAATTCGAACAATGAAAACTAACAAGAAAAGAAATATTTCACTAGTGTAACTGCATTCAACTCACAAGCGTCGGTTACTATCAGCAAAGTCCCAAAACGTGAAAAATGTTTGCTTTCATAGACGAAAAATTGGTTTTCAGCAATTGATGGACTATATATATATATATATATATATATATATATATATATATATATATATATATGATAATCAGGGAAAAATAAGACATGATCGTAGTTGAAAAGTTTTCTGGAAAAAAAAAAATCACGTTGAAAGACATCGTGATAATGTACAGAAAAGACGACATGAAAAGGCACGGGAATAATTGTAGGTAAAAAGACTTCATAATAATGCTGGGAAATGATTACACGTGCAAAGATTACACAATAATGCACGTAAAAGATCACTTGACCAAAGATTACACAATAATACACTGAAAAGAACACTTGACCAAAGATTACATAATAATGCACTGAAAAGTTCACTTGACCAAAGATTACATAATAATGCACTGGAAAGATCACTTGACCAAAGATTACATACTAATGCACGTAAAAGATAACTTGATCAAAGATTACATAATAATGCACTGAAAAGTTTACTTGACCAAAGATTACATTATAATGCAAGGAAAAAATCACATGTGTAAAGACTTCATGTTAATGCACGGAAAAGTTCCCAAAAAGAATGATTTCTTGACAATGCACGTAAAAGATCACTTGAATGATACTTTAAAAACTAACCTTTAATAATTTTTATACTAATAATTATTTTCCTCCCAGTGTAAATCATTAACAATGGTATCGTGGATCTTTGGACAGAGGTTATTGAAACAACTTAATAAAACTTCAGCTAATCTTTAATTTTTTATGTATTTCTTATTTAACCTTTGGAAAGTTATGAATCCGTATTAGAGAGTAGAAAAGATTGTGTTCTACGGTTTTAGGTTAATTGCTAGCCTATGAGAAGAAAAGCTCCCAAACTTGGGTAGATGGGATTTTAAATTCCGATATTATTTAAGCAATAACCTAATATATTTTCAATGATGGCGTAGTAGTATAACTTGTAAAGGTGAAATTTATTAAAATCTGGTCATTATAAAAGTTACTCATTTCATTGAAACTGAATATGCGCTTCTGTATTTTGTGCGAGATATGGAATGAAAAAACACAGCCTTTCATATATTTCCACCTTTAGAAAGAAATGTAATATTTTTTAATGCTATTTACTTCAGTTAAAAACATTGAGTGGCATAGCATTTTACTTTTTTTCACTATAATTTATTAATAGCACCGAAGAAAAATTTCATAAAAAATCTTAAACATTTAATAGAAATAGTCTCAGGAAAATATTCATCATATAGAATAAAAATATTAGCAGAAAAAGAAAGAAAATAATACAAGAAAAATATTAATATTATTGAAGGAATATTTTTCAAAATAAATCTTTATCGCAATGAATAAAAATGATTCAGGAAAATCTTTGTTACTTGAAATTAAAATATAACTCAATAAATGCTGATAATATTCGGCGGAAAATATTAATAAAATATTGAATAAAACTGTTTTGAACCAAAAAATAACTTTGAATTTGAATATTCATAAGAAAATCTTAATCAGGCTGAATTAAAATATTAATATGCTTAAATCAATTTATCCCAAGCAAAGCAATAAAGCCACTACGACGCAAGAAGTTACAAAGCGTAAAGGAGACTGTAAAAACGTTATTGAAAAGAAAGGAAATTAAAAATAAACAGGGGACAAAAAGACAGAAGATGACTTTTGACGTTGCACTGAAATTTTCGAAGATCGTATTTGAGAGGAAAACAAGAACCCGGAAAATGTAATGTTGATGTCTGTCGTTCCATCAGAAAGAAAATCATTTGACAATGCTGCTTTCGGCTGAAAATTATAAAATCTTTTTCTGAAAACAATTTTTCACGAAAATATGTTCCTTAATTCTGGTGAATATTAATGTACTTTCCAGTATTTATGGGAGTTTCCTTCTTAACATTTTGTTTGAATTCGTGTGGAGCATCAACATCTTGATTATGTCCTTGTCGAATTAAGTGGGATATCCATTCTAGTTTTTTTTTATGTTTTTGAAAATGCTCAAGTGATGTGGTTTCTGTTATTTGGTACAGTTCTTTGTTGGTGATTCTGTAGCGCAAGTCCACAAGACTCAAAGGAGAATGATCTTCGCTAAAAGCGACAGGCTTCATTCATTTAAAGCCATTTTAACCATTGATCTGAGAAAACATTTGTATACAGTTGATAATTTAAACATTTCTGTTCGTTTATGCCACCCTATATGAGATCCATGTGAAAGTCATATTTGACGAAGCCATTTAAAAACTCGAGTTTTTAGATTAGAGTTTTGGTTTTGTATTAACTTTTTGGTTTTCAAATAATTTTGAAATGGAGTATTGATAGGAATATTTTAATCTTCAATGGAAATATTCGTAAGAAAAGATTTTAATATCGGATGAGAATAATTGTATATTAATTATATTTTACTGATATACTTCAATGGAAATTATTTATAACATTCAATGGAAATAACTATAGAAATATATTAATAACATCTTAATCAAAGTGAATGCAAATATGCCGGATAAAGCCGTTACCAGTTCAATACAAACATCTTTTATTTGTCGTATGTGAAATGTACTAAAATTTGTTTCTCTCTAAGAGTTTTTTTTCTTTTGTTATTTTGTTTAATATTCATTTCCTAAAACGCAGGGGTTACTGAATGTGAGCGAATATAAGAAAAAGAAAAGATTATAAAGGAGAAGCAATAATAAAAGAACAGAATTATGAAGACACAAGATGAAATCGTTTTACATGAAGAATTGGTAAAAGGAATGAAACAGTAGAACTTTGCATTCGACCTGAATAATTTTTATTTTTTTGCATTTGTAAATGGGGTATCGAATTCATCTTTTTCAACTTTAAAATGAAGAAAAGTGTCTTTGCTCTTTGAAATAGGGAAAGAGAGACAGCCGAAAACCTTGCATAACATACTTGATAAGCCTGACTAAAAGAGTGGTGGAACAGAGTTTACGAGAAATAAGAAAAAAAACTTTCTTAACAGCTACAAAGGATATGAAATTGTGGAGAGCCACGATCGGGACACGGTACATAAAGAAGTATTCATTTGTTGATATCCCCGAGAATACACAGACCAGTGGATAAAAGCATTCGTTGAAGTAATCCAGTGATTGGTGACACAAAGAGTTCTGAGTTCAATACCTGGCCACAGCAAAGATGAACCGATATATCAAGAAAAGAAATGGCATGTGATACTCGAACAATCTACCCTTGTGGGCGAAATAAAGGGGTTCGATTTGAAGTTCAAACGTATATCATATGAAGAAGGCCGGAGCGTATAACAACCGATACGGCATGAATATGACAATAAATATGAGGACAACAGCCCGAACAATGTAAAGGGTGTAAATAAAGAAGTATATTGCTACCGATTTTAATCTTGAAACCTATTGGTGCAAATTATACAGGAAATCTAACTTTGTCTAGTTACACACGCGTCGCCATATTCACCGAAAAAAAGTTTTAGATATTATCCCAAATAATTAATGTTAAAACCAGAACAAGAAAGTAAATTGAAATAACAATGTTGCTTGAAATGTTCAGTTAAAATTAATTTATATTCGGAACAAAAAAGGGGAAAAAGTGGTTCTGATAATAGACAAAATATTAGAAAAAAAAGGCGTGGAAAGATTAGGAACAGAAGCCTTAATAATGAACGGCAAAGAGTAATCAGAAGAACAGTAGATAGAGATTGACATTGCATATAATTTTTTGCAGATTAAAGTTAGCTGGAAAGCATGGAACAGAAAGGGTCTTCCATAAGTGAGAAGTGTGAAAAAAGAAACTGTTAGCATAGAACTGACGGTTACATCTAGCCAACTGAACTGTAAATTGATGGGATCTCGACGCCAGTCTAGTATTGCACTTAAATTCATAAAGTCTGGGTACCATAGCGAAGAGATCAGCCGAACAATTGCTATGAAAATATTTGTAGAAAAGACACGGAGAGGCAACTTTACGACAGTGGGTAGTGACTGAAGCCGAGCCTCCAGATCAGGACCAATAATATTGCTGATTCTTTGGATTTTATTAAGAAGCTCAAAGGACCATGTATGAGAGCAATATTTTAAGCATGGACGAATGGTAGACTTAAAATTGTCTCGCACGGCACAGAGAATCAACTTTCTTAACAGCTGACCTAGCAATGGATTCAATATAGTCTTTCCACTTCATGTCAGCTGAGAACGTTAACCCGAGAAGGCAGAAAGAGTCATTTTTCGGAAAGCCTCGTTGATTTCGCACGGAATAGTAATATGTAACAAATATCT